CGGGTATAATGGATTTTTATTTGGCCTTTTGGGGGGCTGAAGAAAGAAGATTTTAGAAAAAAGAAGACGTCAAATGGTAAGTTTAATTTTTTTTTTACAGGTTAGTTATTTTATTCCCCCCTCACTATTTTTAGGGTGAGGGGGGTAGGTAGGGGATAGTTTTTTTTTGTTTTTTTTTTGGGTGGTGGGGGTGACTAGGGGCTTGGGACCCCTAGTCACCTTGATTGGGGGGGGGTTTCATTTAGGGCCCCCACACAGCTCAGGGGTGGGGGCCAGGGGGACAGTAGTAGGGCATGTGGGGGGGTATTAGTTTTTTTTTGTTTTTTTTTTACAGTGAGCAGCTATATGCTGCTCACTGCTTACTACACATGCCCTACTCGCGATATAGAGAGTAGGGGCATTTAATTTACTAATACTAAGTAATCTTTACTTAGTATTAGTAAATGTGGCTGAAAGACCAATTTAGGTCTTTCAGCCTTTTAGTAGATAGCTCCCTGATACCGTGGGAATTAGGGAGTTATCTACTAAGCGGCTTCAAGATGCAGCCACAGCAATGAATAGGATCGGAGTTTCATTCATTAGAATGAAATTCTGATCCGAATAAAGTGCCGAATTGCGTTCTAAAAGAAATGAACATACTGTTCTCATTCAGTTAGAACGCAATTCGGCAGTTTAGTGTAAAGTGACAGGAAGCATCGCGGGAACACAGAGGGAAGGTAAGGATCATGGGAAAATTGCTCTGACCAGCGGAAATGAAGCACCCTTTGCTCCTCCGCTGGTCAGAGCTGGTCAAGCGGAGGAATCCTCCATAAGGCAAAGAGTCCCTACTTTGTCTTATGATTTTAAAGAAAACTAAAGAAGACAGGAAGAAAAGAAGAACAGATCCTGAGAGAGGGGGAGAAGAGGAAGAGATTGAGGAAAGGTAAGTTCGGCATGACAGTGCCGCTTTAACAAGCTTTCCTTAATATTTCAAGGTAGTTGGACTGAAACATTGATTACATGCAAAGGCACGTCTGCTTAAAATAAATCTGCACTTTTGTTTATTTTGAAGCCTATGAGTGCGCTTTTTACGTTGAAGTACTTTTTAATTTTAAGTTATTTGTTCTAACTCTGTATCTGCACACTATGCTGGCGCGACGCATTATGGGGCTGGTAAATATTTTTTTTCCAGGGCTGCTTTTAATTCCCAGTCCGGCCCTGTGTTAATGTGGTGGTTTTAATGCATAGTCCTTGTCCCTGCACTCTGACAATATTTACATTTGTCCAAGAACACGTTTCTAGTGAATTTCACTTCCATTCTTAAAATTCTTCACGTCTGGCATCATCATAGACAGAATTAGGGTGCTGAATGCAGCCAAGGCTTCAGGTTGACTGAACACCTTGCCATACGTACAGCCTTAGTCCCATGGAAGATTGTGTTTCATGTTTTGTAAGTGCTTACCAAAATGATCATCAGAATAGCCAACCAGACAACTGGGACATCAGAGAAATAAACCAGAACACTAGTACATTAAGCAGAGATAATGGAGAAATAATACAGACTGATTTTGCCCCAGGTCTTAACAGCCCTAATGGATCTGTATCTATTGGATAAAGAGGTAGGGCCAGATTAACGAAGGGGCTGTTGGAGATGAAGCTCCATGGCCCATCATTTGTTACAAGCCCAGGTTACCAGATGTTTTTCTTTAATGATCTGCTGCCCTGAAATGTATATCTACCAAATCTCCTTTTTTTTTTAGGAGGGACAGTCCATATTTTGGACCAATGCCGCTCCATCTCTTTTTTAGCCTAATGTTCCTCTTTTCTATGAGCTCCATATTGTTGGTCAAGAAGAGTGTATATAAAAAAACTCCACAGCAATTATACTCCCAGTAATGAGTCTTCAAACTACAATAAATGTGTTTAGAAATATGTCCATGTAAATAAGATACATTGTTCTTGCATCAATTGCTATTACTAAGTAATGTAAAAATTTCGGCCCAGGATACACACTCTCTTTGTCCGTTTCAAATGTTGGGAGGTATAAAAATCTTCCTTGGCCAGGCTTGGCATCATAGGAGACACCACTCATGAAACCCAAAGTACCAAATGTAGTTTTGGGACTGTATGTATTAATCTTTATGTTATAAATTGCCTTAGAAACAACCAGAGAGGCACAAATGTGTCCAAGGCTCTTTGCCTACCAGCTCAATGTCCCTTATTAGGAGTCCTTTTTGGGCCTAAGTCCTTCTTTTCTATCCTAATGTCCTTTTTTCGTGGAGCTCAGTATTCTTGGTGTGTCTGAACTTAAATCAGCGCACATAGCACTAATACTCACATTAAGGTGTCTTTAAAGTTAATAAATGTTTTTAGAACTCAATCTAGCTAAATATGACACTTTGTTCTGGTTCTAAATTACATTTTATTAAAATGCACGTTGGGATGATTTTATACATGGCTGCAAAATCTAACAGCAGATGAGGTGAGGAGCATGAGACAAAAACACAAATTAACATTTTATATTTAGGCTCTAAGTAATTTCCATCGCAAAGCCCATGAAACCGTTAATCCAACTCCTCTGTCACTGTGTCCCTGCACAGAACTTCTTATTAGTGACACATGTCGCTCAAACAAGAGTTCCATTCACATCTTAGAAAGAATAGAACTTCTACCAAGTACCTAACCACACTCCCCAAACCAATCCTCCCTGAGAACCAACAGAAGGCTGGGATTGGATGACACATCTCAACATCCTCCTGGTTTGGGCAAAACTACTGAAATAAGCCACCAAGTCTGGGGATTGTCAGAATCTTCAAAGGTTCATTTTGCATTTATCTGATTTATTTACATATAAGTAATGCATTATCTATATAATACATACATAATGTGTATTGACCCCCAGTCCCTTTAATCCTTATTATTACTAAAGGGTGGACACTAGTGATGTCCCGAACTGTTCACCGAACGTTGAGTCATTGAGTAAACTTTGACCCTGTACCTCACAGTCAGTAGACACATTCCAGCCAATCAGCAGCAGACCCTCCCTCCCAGACCCTCCCACCTCCTGGACAGCATCCATTGTGAAGCTGCATTCTTAGTGAGCTGTCCAGGAGGTGGGAGGGTCTGGGAGGGAGGGTCTGCTGCTGATTGGCTGGAATGTGTCTGCTGACTGTGAGGTACAGGGTCAAAGTTTACTCAATGATGAGTCCTCGGCGAACCGTTCGTAGCGAACCGTTCGCGAACCATTCGTCGAACAGTTCGGGACATCACTAGTGGACACACTTTCATTTTAATTCATTTTTATTAGGAATGCTTACAAAAATATTTTTTTTTTATCAAATGACGAGCTTATGGTCATATATTTTTAGAAGCACCTTTAATTGAAACAGCAGTTTGCTTTTCTGTAATAAAAGGCAGTGGAGCGACCGAAAACTACCCCTCCTCCCTCCGATGAGTAAAGTTGAGAAGCCGGTAACAAAGGAAAACGTTCTCCTTTTGTTGCAGTGGCTGTAACTAAGCAACAGATCTGTTGTTAATGTTTAACTGGTTACTCAACCTCAATCTTCCTTGTTCTCGTTTAACTTAACAGTCTATTCAAAAGGTACCAAGGAGTCTCGTCAAACGGCACAGTTTTTGTAACGGCCGCCCTTTATACTTGGAAAATGTGTGAGGTCTCTGCTAATTTGAAATAGCTGGAGATAATACAATGGGTAGATTGTAGGAAATATAAAGGAAATAGATGACCAGTTGGAAAACAATGTAGTCCAAGTACACAGGGTTTATAATCCTTTTACTTTTATTCTGACTGGTTTCATTATTCCCCTGCGAGATTATGGGGCTTGGAAATATAAAATGACACATAAAGTGAATGTAGTTTTAAAAATAGCGATCACCGACAATGCATGATATCGACTTTAACAGCAAAAAAGCTAACGAAAATGTTTATATAGAAAAACACTGTTGGTTTTTATGTTTCTGCAGATATACAGTTTTTGCTTGTATATTTTTGGATATTTGTGTGATCTATTCATTAATCACCGAATTATGGAGGACAGAAAACTTAATTACAAAACATTGATAAACAATGGAGATTTGGAAAAAATATATCACTTGACTATAGTCAATTTACTATTCACTATAATCTTGTGTTTTGTGCATAAACCATAATGTTGCCCCTCTTCCTATATATATGCCTAAGAAGTTGCACACTGTAGTTTTAGATGGGTATCTCCTGCATCCGATTTCAGAGGCGGCTCTAGACTTTATGAAGGCTCAGGCGAAACTCAAACATGAGGCCCCACTAACACCAAACTGAAAAAAATATAGTTGCAATACATGCACACATATACACATTGATGCATTGTCTACCTGTGTATGTGCCTGAGGGTGTGTTTGTCTGACAGAGAGTATCCCTGTGTGTGAATGTATGTCTCTGTGAGCATATTTGCGTTTTTGTCTGGGACCATATCTGTATGGGGAAGGCTGCTTGAAGCATGTTATGTGTATGGGGGTCTGCCTGTGCCCTTTGTTCATTGTGTTTATGGCAAAGCTATGCTTCCTGACTGTGTGTGTATGGTGAATGTCTTCGGCTGGTGACTTTGACAAGGTGAGTAAAGGGGTACCAGTGGCAGGGAAAACGTGACTCTGTGAAGGGGGTAAATGGGACAGGGTGGGGGTTTGATAAGGGAGTGTGACAGGGCGAGTGGAGGTAAGTGTGTCAGAGCAATTGAGTCATTGCAGGAGGAACTAGTGTGACAGGATTAAGGGGAGTTAATGTAACAGGGTGAGTGTGGCAGAGTTGACAGGATTGGATGCATTAATGTGACAGGATAAGTGTGGCAGGCTTGGGGGGAGAGTGTGAATTAGTGAGATAAGGTGGGTGTGACAGAATTAGGGGGGTTAATTTGATGGGGTGAGCAGTGGCGTACACATGACCCATGGGGCCCCGGTGCAAAAATTGATCCGTGGAGTGGTTAATGTGAGTGTGGCTGCATGAAGAGGCTGACAGTGTGGGGCGGGGGTGACAGTGTGGGGAGGGGTGACAATGTTGGGGAGGTAACAGTGTGAGGGGATGCTAACAGTGTGTCTGCGGAGGCTGACAGTGTGTGGGAGTATGGTGACACAACATAGTTGTGGGTGACAGTGTGTGGGGCGCATGACAGTGTGTGTGGTGTATGCGAGGGGGTTACAGTGTGTGTGAGGGAGGTGATACTGTGTGTGTGGGGGATACTGTGTGTGGGAGGGAGTGACCCTGTGTGTGTGAAAAGGGTGATCATGTGCTTAAATTTATGTTATATCACTCCAAATATGAGAACATGTAAACAAGAACATAAACAAAATATAGTGTACATTGCAAAAATAGGGGATCACATAAACTGGGCACAAATGGCCCACTCACATCGTTGAAGCTGAACCTATGCTACACCATTTAAAGACCTTGTGGAGCTATGAACATCGTAGTGTCCAGGCACACAGCCCTTAGCATACGTGTATGGGAGAAAGCAGTATAAATAAAACTACAACATTTATTATATAAACCAACATAATACAATAAAAGTAAACCACTCATGCTCTAGCAATAAGAACAATGCAGTCAACTTGGGTCATAAGGTTTACATCTGTTGCTTTTAACGCTAATCAAGACTCTGTTTGACACTATATATGGGCAGCTCTATAAATTCCAGTTGCCCCTACATGATCAAGCATTAAATTTTAGCATAAGATCACTAAAGGGAGACTCTAAGCACTGTAAACATTTAATCTCACTGTAGGGATTATAGTGTATTTAGTCCCCATTTTGAATGTTTCAGTGCTAAGCGAGACTCCCCTCCCTTGTCCCCCCCCTCCCCCCCCCAACAGACCATTCCTTCTGGTGATAGGATGTCAATGTCACTTTGAATGGTACAACAATGACAACCAGTCCTGCGTTTATTCCAGTAAATTTGTAAGCCACCTAAAACCAGCGCTAAGCCAGGATTGCTACAGAAAAGGCTGCAATAATTAATGTCCCGATCGTTGAAGGTCGATCTGTAAATGGAGAAGGCTGCCCTCCGCACATAACAAACGCATGTAATATAGAACAAGCAGATTGATGCCATTGCCAAAAATGCAACCAATGCCAGTTTTCTTTGAGTAATAAATGTCTGATTATATCAGGATGTCTGCCAAGACTAGCAGCCTAATAAAACAGAACAAATGAAAGTGTATCCAGAAAGACAGACCCCTTTTAAAAAAAAAAAAAAAAACACAGGAGATCAGAATTTCAGTGAGCAATTTGTGTGGGCACTGGCACATCAGTATGATATTGCAATGTTTGTCCAAATCCCACTTAGTTCTAAGCAAATTACACATTAATGCAAGCTTGGAGCCAAGTTGTACCAGATGGAGTACTTCTGAAATAACAAACACTGTAATTGTTCCTTCAATAAGTCATTTGGAGCTTTATTAACTAGCTATATCTCATTTTATGATAGATATGGTTATTTTGTTTCTGATGCAGTTGAGTATATTATTGTTATTTTTTTGTTAACTGTCAACTCTCCAGAATATATTATTAAAGTATGCATGCTTATTTTAAATGGAAGAGAAAAAAAAGCAAATTTTGTCTTATAATTTTCCTTTATTACTTTCAGATTGTCCTATTGCTCACGTGAATGTGCGGATAGGCATACATTGTTCATATAAGCACAAAACACACACAAGTTGTTCTATTGGGAGGTCATCTGATGCTCAAACCCAGAAAATAACAATAGGGAATGTCATAAAGGTAACAGGTAACATAGGCTTAGATTCAGAAATCACAAGAAAATAGAATGGCAAAGACTATTAGAGTTCCTTAGAGGTTTAAGAGGGAACGAGGGGTAGAAAACCAAGAAGAGTAAGCAAGTGAGAAAACGAGCCTGCCAGAGAACCAGAAACACAAGGTTATTCAGTAAAGTGAGAATTCACAATGAATTTAAAATTAAGGCCAGAGTTGCCAAACTGGAAGACTTGAAATTCACTTTAAATTCATTTTTAATTCTCACTTAACTGAATAACCCTAAAATTAAAAATAGATAACATTAGTCTGAGTCAAATACTTTGCAACAGGGTGGTCATCTATAGCCAAATCTAATACCAGAAAATAATCATAAGGAATGTGTTAAAGGATCACTATAGATAATTAAAAATTAAATAAGGTAGGCACACTCAATATGAAATATATGCAAGCTTCCAAGTGGAGCTCTATGAAAATTCAATATGGGGTGCTCACTCACATAAGGCTTTATCCCCAAAAGCCCAAATATATATAAATAACAATGGAGTAAGGAGCACAACCATCAATAGTAATAAAACAATCTTTATTAAGTGGATATACTCTATAAAAATATCACATAACATAAAGATCCAAAATATAGGATCATATCACGCTATACATCAATGATCAGAAAAATTCTGAATATATATGTATGTACGCCAAAAGTGTCTTATATGAAAAACAGAGTCTCAATATACAAAAAATAGAGAAATAAAATAACAGTCTAATCCAACCCCACAAACATAGACATAAATATACAAAAATATATATAACAATAAGCATACCAGACCTAGTGAGAAGCAGGGACAGAGTCAGTCACAAAAACACGTTTTGGCAAAAATGCCTTTATCAAGGGAGCATGATATTTTTATAGAGTATACCCACTTAATAAAGATTGTTTTATTACTATTGATGGTTGTGCTCCTTACTCCATTGTTATTTAAATGATCACTATAGAGTCAGGAATACAAACATGTATTCCTGACCCTACAGTGTTAGAAACACTATTTAGCCCCCGTGATTAACCAGTGACACATTCCACCACAATCCAGATGTCTGTGATGAAACTATTACAAGTCTGTCAAAGTCTGTAAGAAATACAAAATATACAGTAGAAATTTAACAAAGCTATTGACTTATCTTGAGGGTTCCAAACCCGTTGTACGAGTGCCCGCATGGGTATAATCCAGTGCCCCTGGGGGTAAGTTAAAAAAAATTGTAATTACATGATTGCAGCCGCCCCTCACTGGCTGGGGACCGCAGGTTGAGGGTCCAACAGGTGGCCCATGCATGTTACCCTTCTAAACTGCATGGAGAGCTGGGTGGAAGTAAGAGCTGGTCACTTCCTTCCAGCTCCAAGGGAAACTGA